AGTTATGGTAATTACATCACTTGAGATTTATTTAATATCTCCATCCGGGAAAAAAAAAAACTAGGAAGTCTGGCTGTGACAAGCAATCAGAGGGTACTCAGCTGATGAGCACCTCCCCATCACAGAGAGAGCAGTAGGAATCTTTGATGTATTGGATTTAAGTAATGGTTTGCCAGAGGGATGGGGCCCATGCCACGGCAATCAAAGCTCCTCTGCACCATTAAGGGCTGTAAGTGGAACAGGAGGCGCAGTGCAGCTATTGACTGAGTAGGTGGGCATGAAAATGGGTTTAGGTAACTGTTTACTTCCTGAGAGATGGAAAACACAAAGGAATGTTCCTCTGGCAGCTTTCTGGCTCCCTGACCTTCTCTGTCCACATCAGCATTTATATTGTCTGTCTCTCACATGCTTATGCACAATGACTGGTGTGCTGAGTTCAAGCCGTTCGGCTGCAGTCCACATAATGCTTTCCTGCTTGCATTTGCCTTCCTACTATCTCTGCCATTTAAAAAAATCCCAGAACTAACAATATAAAAAATAAAAATTTGCTTATATGATTTTATATCAGGCTGCCACACAGGCAGATCAAATATTGATGCAGCTCTAGCCACTCTTTCTTGCTTCCTCCACCCCCTCTGTGCTGAGCGATGGCTTGTACAGAGAGGTGAAGAGGAGGCACATGAATAGCAATACTTTTTTTGTCCTTGTTGAGGGAGTAGCTAAGGGCAAATGGGCCCACACTGTGCTTTAGATAACTAGTGATAGAGTGGCTTCTCTGAGACCAAGCTGCAGCCTGAATCCTTCTAGAACAAACAGGCCTGCAGGTCTGTGCCAAGACACCTGGACATCTCCCCAATCTAATTTCCTAGTCAGTAGCTTGGATGTAAGCAACCAAGAGGAACCAGTTCTCCACTCTCAGCTGATTGAGTCACATGGCTTTTCTTTCTCTTTCTGTACCTGAGGAGGGCAAAGGTAGTGTCTGCCAGAGCTGATGCCTCCCAAGTTATCCTCCCTGTTAACCTCTTGCCTGTTAGCGGGCTCAAGAGACAATAGATCAAAACTCACAGAAACAGGTCCTTCTGCAAAAGAAGGTGCTGTCCATCATCTGCTGCACATTGCTTCCTGTGAAGAAAAATTAGGAAGGCTCAATTGGCCTCTTAACAGCTCCTGACTCTCACTGGCATCTCACCAAAGTGTCTTGGGCCAGCTCTTTCCAGTGCAAGCATTTTAAGCAAGACACCTTGTTCCATACCAAGGAGCCTGAATGCAGCATCCAAGTGTGAAAACATTGGCAGTCGTCCCATTTACCAAAACAGGAATAATAATACCCACTCACCTCTGGGAAGCATATGGAGCACCTCCGATTTATTATTTGTTTTATTTGTTTTGTCACATTTATCAGCCATTCAACTCTCCGGGCACACAGCCCATACATTAAAACCCAGAATATAACACAAAGATCTCCTCTACCCTGTAAAACCAGGCATGGGAAGGAGGGAAGGATGAAAGATGCTTTACACAAGCAAAGGATGACAACAATATATTTTTCTCCAATTCTGTTATTGATGGAACCATTCTGAAAATGTTGGTGACATCAAGACAAGAAGATGGGAACAATAAAAAGCATGGGGGGTGGTGGTGGAAAGCCATCCTGGAGCATGGACACAGAGACTCGGCCTCTAGCCAGCCTGTCTCACACACAGGAAGTCTCTAAAATGCTCTTTCCATTATTATTTCTCTAATGACCCCATTAGACACATATGAAATTCTGAGAAGCCTTAAATATCTTGTAGACAGCCACACTGGCAAATCTGCCCAGCTTTTCTGAGGAATGGCAGGCTGCACTGATGAATGTTTTAAAGCATCCCAATGTGTAATTTATTTCCTGGAAATTAATTGCATGTGCTGGTTTCATTTTCCTGTAGCAAATAATCAGTCTGCTCCTTTTTAATTAGGTAACAACATAGATTCCTCTACAAATCATGACACAGTGTTTTATGCATGCCATGTCTTTTTCTATAGGAAACAATTTCAAATCATTGTCTAGGGTCCAGCACAACTTTTAAGAGACATGAGATTATTTATCAGTGGGGTTGCCTGGGTCACTGCCAATGAAGACCTTGCACACAAGACCAGCTAGAGAACCCAGAGTGGCATTGGCACATGCAATGGCTTCCTGAAGGAGAAGTTTAAGGAAGAAACTAAATAAAATGAAATTTCAATGGCATTGACATGTCAGACCCAGGCACCAAGAGGTGTGTCCCATCTTGCGGGTATTCACCAGTCCCTGAGCTGAGACATTGCACTGACATTAGCCATATTGCACAGACTGTATCAATGGTTGGTATTGATAATACTTTTGGTCCACATAAAACTCAGCACCTTTGTCAGCTGTTCCAGCTGGAATAGCAAATACCAAGTCTCAGTGGAGATCTAAGTTTTCCCTAGCATTCAGAGGCTGCATGCGTCTGCATGGACACACATAGCAGGATGGGGTGGGGAAAGCCGCTTCTGCTGATGATTGCAGAGAAAAGCTAATGGCCTCCAGCAGCTGCTACTTAAAATTTTCAAACAGGCTGAGAGAGTAAAAACTATTGGCCTTGGCATCCATTCATTACTTGCAGCAAAACTCTAATTAAGCAATAGTGTTCAGTCATATTTACCCTCCACTGGGCTACAAGGAACCCATATTTCTACTGAAATACATGCTACTGAAACAAAACAAATCTATCAGCATAAACGCTGCTGGAGTAAAATGCAATAACGATATCATAGCTATTAGACCGTGAAATCCTCTGCAACAAATTAATCTGCAAGGGAAAAGTTTGTTGGTGGGATTTCGGCTTCCTGCTGGGAACCTGTAAAACCCGCACCACTGCCGAGACAGCGCCGCACTGGCGGCCTCTGCCTCCTGCCCCTGGAAGTTCCCGTGTGCCACTGGTCCCCGCAGCGACCGGTGGGAGGTGGAAATCCGCCTGGAACGCTGCGGGGCGCAGAGGCTTCGCCGCCTTCCGTGTGCCTGTCGGCGGCGGGGGCGGTGCGGGGCTCGGCGGGGCCGGGCCGGGCCGGGCCGGGGGGAGCAGCGCGGGCGGAGCCTCCGCGCCCCGCCCGCCGAGCCCCGCCCCGCCCCGCCCGGCGGAGCTGTCCGCGCCCCGTGGTGCTGAAGCCGCAGCGCCCGCCCAGCTCCTTCCCCGCCCCTCCTCCCTTCCTCCCCGGCGTGGGCTCTCGCAGGCAGCCGCCAGCCCGGGGCATCAAAGGTTGGGAAGGGCTCCATTCCTCGCTTTGATTCTTGCCTCTCACCCCGCCTTTTTGCTTCTTCTTTCCCTCTCCTTTTTTTGTTTTTTCTTTTTTAAATTTTTTTTATTTTCCAAGCCGGGGGAGGGAGAAGAGCGCGGCCACGTCCCACCCCTCCCTTCCTGCAAATCCCCGCTCGCACTGCAAACAATCTGCCTTCCCCATTGCATCCAAGGGAGATAGCAACAGCAACATCATCACGGCAAGCCGGATGGGAGAGCGGAGAGGAGGCTGCTGCTGAGGGAGGAAGGCACACACGCACACACCAGCTCGATGTTGCCAAAGCGGTAGGAACCGCACGAAAAATAAGCCATGCTGCCCCATGTGTCTGGCGCATTGTGCTCCATCCGAGCCTTTTAGGAGAAAGAAGAGAATTATCTGCTCCGATTTTTTTTCCTACCAGCGAGAGTGCGACAGACTTGCGATGGTTGAATGTCAATGCCTGTGAGAGAGAGCAACAGTCAGAGCAGGAGGAGGACAGAAGGGGAGGAAAATGAAGGTGGGGACGGTGGTGGAGAGAAAGAAGGAGCCTCGTCCAATGCATCAAAAGGAGGTCCCTGCAATTGCTGATAGAGCCCTGACCGCCTCGCCATCCACAATGGTCTGTACAAGCTGCCAATGCGTTTGATGACGTTCCTGTTTTGTGAAAGGAGGAAAGGAAACGTGACCATGTAAGATCCACGTTTCCCCGGTCAATTACATGCGAAGAATAGATCCGATTTCGACGTGGGTTTTTGGTCCAGGATGGTAACAGCTTAGGGAGTAATACAGCCGCCTTCCCTCATCAATTTCGCTCTGATTTTTTTTTTTTTTTGTGTGGTCCAGGCAGCTGCTGTAATAGAGAAGGTCAGAATATATAAATATATATAAAATATATATGATATATATATTATATATATAAAAATATATTTGTCTCAGTACATCTGGGATTAAGCTCGTTGAATGCTAATTATTTCTTTCCGGACTTTTAATATTTACAATTAAATCTTTTAAAGGCAACGGTAAAATCTGAAGCCACTTGGGAGTACAGTGTTGAAAACGTAGGGTGTTTTCCCACAAACAATGTGAAGGTCTTTTTTGTCAAAGAGGCAATTTTGATAATAACAACAGCTACCAATTTTGCATTTTGATAGCCAGACCAGCTGCTATTTTGTCTGGATGCACACTGGGATTCGTGTGATTGGGTTTTATTTTTTAATTGAAAAAAAATATTATAAAATAGAAGAAAAAGGAAAATTACTTGAGATGCCAAATACTGTCGAGAGAACCATATTCTCCCTCCTCCCCACACCCACCGGAGACGTGGACCCTTCTTTTTTACAGGCTTAGGAGTTGCGAGAGCTGATCGGGGGCTTTTCTCCCGAGACCGCCGCCTGCGCCCCTGGACCCTCGGGCGTGGGAGATTCATTTCCTCCTCCCGCTGATTTCTAAGCAAACTTGTGGAGGGGGGGAAAGGATCCCTCGGCAGCACAGAGTCGGTTTTTTTTCTGGTGTGGATTTTTTTTTTTTCAATTGCCGTCCCCGCCGGGTTGCAGCGGGCTGCCGGGGACTTCTCCCCCTCGCACCCGGGCTCTGCTTTTGTGCGTTCCCCGGCGGCCAGCGCAGCCTCCCCCCGGCACTGCGGCCGCCGCGGAGCCCCCCCGGCCGCGGGGCGCCCGGCTCCTGCCCTTTTCTTTCCCCCGTGCCCGCCTGCCAAGGAAAGGCACATGTTAATACCACCCGGCGCGGGCATTTTCTGCTACTGCTGCTGCGGGCTCCTCCGTCCGAGACAGATGTTGCGAAACCAAGGCCTCCTCAAGTGCCGCTGCCGCATGCTCTTCAATGACCTGAAGGTCTTCCTGCTGCGGAGACCCCCCGCGCCGCCGCCGCCCTCCCCGCCGCCGCCGCTCCCCATGCCCGGCGGCGCAGAGGCGGCGGCGGGGGCCGCACCGCCCGGGGGGCGCGGGCCCGGCTGGCGGGCGGCGGGCGGCGGCGGCGGCGGCGGCGCGGGCAGCCCGGCCGCCGAGGAGTGGGGCAGCCCCGCCGGGGAGCCGCCCGCCTCCCTGCCCAGCAGCACCTCCTCGGATGACTTCGGCAAGGGCAAGGCCGAGGACCGCTACTCGCTGGGCAGCAGCGTCGACAGCGGCATCCGCACCCCGCTCTGCAGGATCTGCTTCCAGGGGCCCGAGCAGGTGAGCGGCCGCGGGCGGTGCGCGCCGGGGTGCGGGTCCGGCGGCAGCGATGCTCCAGCCGGAGGGACCCTGCTTGTGCTGCTGCTTGAGGAGTGTCCCTGTTGCCCGGAACACGACCCCAAACCCAGAGGGGCTCTGCTTTCTGCCCAGGCCCCGGGATCCAGGTTTTGCACCTCGGTAGTGTTTCCCAGGGAGGTGTGGGGTGGAGCCGTGCTCCCTCCTGTTCTGCTTCCCGGCAGCCTTGCCCCGGGCACTCGTGCCCAGCCTCAGAGCCGTACAGCTGTGGCATGGGAGGAGGGATGTGCTGACACCTTCATGGAGCGGAGCACATCTCAGCAAGGGAGGCTCTTTGGTGCTTTGTGGGTACCCGGTTGCGATGATGGCAGAAGTGATGCAAAGGAGGAGTTTAATGTGCTCTTTGCTTTTAAAAATATAACTTCAGTCTGTACAAAACACGAGGCAGGAGACAACCCTACTTCAGTGTTTCCTAGGGGATGGCTAGTAGGAACTGTACAAGTGCTCCACTGCTCCAGTGCTCCCGGTTGCACTATCTGCAGGAGAAACACGGCTGGCTACAACTGTACCTGCTAAAGCTGCAGCCTTGAGATGCTCCGTGGTACAGACTGAGGTTAGGCCAGTGAAGTTTCCCTCCACTACACAGGAATATGAAACAAATGCAACCATGCTAGAATAAAAGATGCCACCCTGGAGCATTATTCTCCATATTTAATGACAATTAAAAGCAGCTCACTTATTTTCAGGCTGGCAACTTCCTTACAGTGATGTACCCAGCAACATTTGTACCTCACATGACACAGCTTGCAGGTGCAAGGAAGGCTGCAGAGCAGACCTCTGCTTGTGGGATCAAGCCCATATATGCAGATAACCACTATTACTCAGGATAATTCCATTACATGTCATAATAGGGGATCCTTGTATGAGAAAGGGTTGCAAAGTTCAACTTGACTATTTTCATTTTTGGGCACAGATTCTGGCATGTAAGGCATTGAAATCTTATGCAAAATGGGTTTTTCCCCAGGTGTTCTTTCCCCTTCATGGACCTGCGTGCTCTGCTAAGGAGAAAACCAGTCGTCATTTGAAAGTGGCCATGCTCTGGCACATGTCCTGCCTTTTCCAAAATTGCCTACATCTGTAATGCAGTGATTGTGCCCTCTCTTATGTTGGTTTGAGGATGGTGGCAATGGGTGCTGGAAATGGGGGATGGGCTTCTATTCTTCCTTGGGAGAAGTGGGGTCTGCCACTAACTGATGCAATATCCACAGCCCTGCTGGATGTGTCATACCAAGGGTTCCATAGGTCACAGCTCAGTGCTCAGTGGACTGTAGCCTTCTCTAATGGTTTATGCAGCTGGCAGACAGCCGTGAGACACAGTTTTCACCATAGGCTTTCAGATGGGAGTGGAGGAAATAATTCTTTTTTGGAGATAATGTACACCTTCTTCTCTTGCTTGTCTTCTAAAAGTTGGAAGCCATGCAGTTCACTTCTTGGGAATTTGCATTATTCCATATTTCTAGTACTCCTCCTGCCATTCTGCCTGTGTACACAAGACGTAGCACCTGTGAGATTAGCTTACCTGTCAGAGCAAATAGAGCCTAAACAGAATTAAAATAGAGGTAGCTTGCTTCCTTGGAGAACACTAATCCCTGAAAATAACTGGATGCTAATTTTCACACTGAAAACCAGTGTAGGTTGCATTGTAAAAGTGAGACTATTTGCTGACCATCTGCCAGCCTACCTGAGTGAGGAGATGAGCAGACGTGACTGGCATCTCATAAGACTTTCACCAGGATTTCTCTTTCGTGGGTCTCACAGTTTCTAACCAATACAATGAGATATTTGCAGCTGGATTTGCTACTCTTCTTTGAAGACTACCTTATTCCACAAATAATTTTTTGTCCACTGGCATTGCTTGAGGAGTATTTGAAGCCTTTAGCCCCTGCAGCAGCTGGGAAGCACAAGTCATTATGGAGGCCCAAACTGTGGGGTTTTAAAGCACAGCAAGATCCTGACACATCTTCCTGGAAGTACAGTTCAGAAAACTGAGCACTGAATTGGTGCAGCTGATGTCAGGACCTGCAGTTTGGTTTATTTGGTGCTTATGTCAATACAACTCCAGTAGGGCTAAATCCCACATTCCTTGTTCCTTTTTGTTATGGTGCTTGTTACTGGTTTAGCCTTTATTTCCCATTTGTTTTACAACTCAACAGCTGACCAAAGACTCTTCATGTCTTGGGCCCTCACAACTATAAAAGTCATAGATGCACATTATTCTATACCACCCCTGCCAAGATCATAATGAAAATTTATCTGCTTGGAAACAAAATATAATTGCTAGTTCTTTACTCCGCAGATTAATAACAATGACAGATCTAAACAGTATTTTATTTACCTGTCAAAACCATCTGAATTTGCTGCAGCTGTGGGCAAATTTGCAGGGCTGCATCACAGTAACAAGAACAAAAGCCTTCATTATAATTTGACTGTTAGGCACTCTAAGCTTATTTACTCAGATAAAGTGACAGCGAGTCTCCAAAAGATGTTTTAATCCTGTTTTGATGTAAAAAAAATCGCACCAAAATCAACAGCCAAAAAGGTTTCTTAGTAATCTGGCTTCGCAAGTAGATTTTATTTAATATCTAATGCAAAATAAAATTGGGATTTTTGCTTTAAATATATGATTGCCCAACATGCATGATACTTCAGGCTACTGAATTGCTTATATCTTAAGCTCCTCATGTTGGTCTGTGGCTCTTATGGGTAAGCTGATTCTTTCATTTAAAAATGTGCTGAGGACTGTAAGAAGGAGGAAAGCTTATTATTGTGAAACTGTACTGATCCTTGTGTGCTAGTCAAGAGAAACCAGGGATGCGGGCAAGAAAAGAGTGGATCTGATGACCAGGGGATTGCAGCATCTGGGCTCGTGTTTTAAGGGCATGAAGAGCAAACTCTGCTCAGGTCTGACAGTTGAAAAAGGTTGCTGCTTTCATTGAAAATGAGAGCTAAATCTCATTGAAGGTGAGGGACTGAACTCAGCTCTTGGCAGTGGCATTTCCTTTTGGGGACTTGCTCGGCATTTTCAAAGGTTTCAATGACTGAACATCCTTCACCATTGTGTCAGCAAATTTTGAGACCCTGGACTGAGTGGCAAAGCACTCCGGAGAAAGTGAGGAAGAAAAATGCTGGAGTATTTTCTTCTGTTTTGGTTAATGCTTAGTGTTTGCGGAATTTTGTCTGCTTTCCTGGATCTCTGACAATGTTCTGCAAGGGAAAGAAATTAAGATGAGCTCCTCTCTCACAAATGTTTTATAGTATTTGGTATGGTTCCAATCTGAAAGTAAGTAATGGGGATTAGCAGAAAAAGACATGGGTGAAAAGTCCCTTCGCAACAGGGGATAAACTTTGCCCACATCACAAGGAGTTAGCAGTACTGTGGAATTTAGGATCTCAGAAATGGTGCTAGCTGTGCTGAAAATAAATGGAAAAACATTCTTAAATGAAACTGAGATAATTTGGAAAGCCATATGTTTCAAGGTTCACTTGTTATATTGTCAGTTAGAGTGTGTGCACATCTTTTATTACCGATCATTTTCAGTCTGCGTTTCTGTTTCTCTTTTTTGGGGAAAGATGCTGGAAAGATGGAGATTTGAAAAGTCAGTAGTGGTAGATTTGGTTGGTTGTGGAGGATCAGAGAGAACAGATTGTGGACTCTTACCTGCAGGCTGATAGCTTGGACTTAGTTCAGTATTCAATAGAAATGCTTGGATGAAGACTATTCTTCCCACTATATTTCCTGCTAGACTTTTGCAACACCAGATCCTTAATATGACAACGTGAAGACCTTCAAGAAAATTGGAAGGGAAGACAACTTATAATGCATATTAAGACATGCATTTCTATGTGATATGTAACTGGGCTGTGGAGCCCCTTGCTTCAGGACATACAAAGAGCTAAAGTTTAATGAAGGATTATAAAAACGTGATTTTTATGAATACCTAGAGTTATCATTAATTGATAACACTTCTGAAAGTAAAATTCATGTTTCTCATCTGAAGCCATCTAGAGATCAGGGTGAGACTGACTAGGGGCAGGGCCCTGGGGCTGGTGTCTTGCCCCATACCTCACCAGCCTCCTGTGCCTGACCAGTGAGATCCACCCCTGCAGGTGCATGTCTGGATTTCATGCTCATGTAAGGTAATGTCTTCACTGTGTAGGCACCCACCATGTTCAGGACTTCTCTAGAATTAAAGTGACCCCAAAATACTCATCCTGGAGTAACACACATTCTTGGGGGCCCTGTGTAGGATCAGGGAATGGTCAGTACCATTGAACGACTGGCCATTAGCATGACTTGAAATAACTAGTGAGAATCTGAACCCCTTCCTGGTACAGACATGAGCAGAAAGCATCATCAGCTCCCTGCATGGCAGGGTCTGCAGAGAAGGCATGAGCTAAGGTCAGGAAATACTGCTGCTATACACACTGGTCTCTCAGCAGCACAGAGGAATGGAGGAGGTGTCTGGGATGCCTGATTTCTGATTTGCAACGTTGTGAGATTGACGAAAATGAAGTACTAGAGTGAGACAAAGAGGAAAAGGGGAAGTCTGTGTCAGAATTCAGGGCTCATAATGAGTGGAAAAAGAAACAACTGTGAAAGCAGTATCACAGACGTACCCAAAGCCCGGAAAACTTGCAAATATAGATGCTAGTACTTCATGGGGTCTGTCCAAACTGGCTAGACCATCAGGACACTGTTTTCAAATCTGTTGCATTACATGAGAGTGCAGGCTTCCCATCCGTGTCATTTTCATAGGTGTGTTCCCATGGGATTAATTTACTTGGTGTTAGAAGGAGAATAATTCATTAGAAAACAGCCAGCCAGTCCTGCTAAAACTGAAGAATAAGAGATGCTGGAATGCAGCAGTTTAGATTTCAATCTGTATATTGTAATTTATGGTAGGAAGGGAGGATGCTTCCTGTGG